GCGTAGGTAATAAAATTTGTATTCGTTGTTTGTTTGTCCAGAGTTGTAAATTGTTGGTATTCTTTTTTACTTTCCTATCTGTATACAGATATAAGGAAAGTATAGGAATCATGATTTTTTTCGACCTCGAGTTTTCGACGGATTTTTACGTTTTGAGGTCCCCTGAATCCGTTTTGACTATTTTCGCGATGATGTCTGTGTGTGTGTGTGTCTGTGTGTCTGTGTGTGTGTGTGTGTGTGTGTGTGTGTGTGTGTGTGTGTGTGTCTGTATAACGCATAACTCATGAACCGATACACAGAAAAACACCAAATTTTAAACTTAAGCTTTGTTTCAGCGTCCAATGAGCTGATTAGATTTTGGGCAGTGTCGGAACATCTGGGGGGGTACTTTATAGGTGGTCATTTTTATATTTTATGGAATATATCTGTTATTTACGTTTGGAGAAGAAAATTCTTCAAATAAAAGTTACTTCTAATATAATTATCTATAATTTTTGTCCTATACATAATTTCTCTAAAATGGACCGTATTCGAGATATTTGAGAAAATGTGTAAATTTCGAAATTTGAAGAAAACTCAAAAACGGATAAAGGAAAAAACATTAAATTTTAAACTTAGGGTTTATTTCGGCCTGACGTGAAATGATTAGATTTTGGACAAAGTCGGAACATCTGGGGGGGTACTTTATGGGAGGCCGTTTTTATATTTTATGGAATATATCTGTTATTTATGTTTGGAGAAGAAAATTGTTCAAATAAAAGTTACTTCTAATATTATTATCTATAATTTTTGTTTTATGTCAAAATTTCCTGAAATGGTCCGTATTCGAGAAATTTGACAAAATGTGCAAAATTCTGATTTTTATGAAAATTGTTGAACTAAAAGTTGTTTGCGATATCGATTTCTATAATTTTTGTTTATACATGATTTTTCTAAAATGGACCGTAATGGAAAAGTGCTAAATTTAAATTTTTCTGTATTTTCGTTTTCAATGAAAATCTATAGAAAAATGTTTCGAGGTAGATGTATGTGTAAAATGTATATATTTAGTTTATCCTCTAAACATTTATAGAGATGCTGCAATAGGTTGTACAAAATAACCGGAAAATGCCTATAATAACTAGATAGGAAAGTCATGTGTTGGACACATCAGATTTTTTTAACAGACTTAAGAAATCATGTGCATGTTCATTTTTTCTCTCATTTCCCGTAATTCCTTATTAAATCATCGTATATCTCTTTACATATTTTGTTTTAAATATTTTTCATTAAAATTTACATAAAACTTGTTTAAAGCGTTTCAAAAAAACTATTAAACATATATTTAGCATTCACTTTACAGATTCCCAATCGAAATTTATCAGGTCTTGTACTCGTATAAATGAAAACAATCCCTTCTCAGTGATTGTTCGAATTTTTCGTGTTTATCTGCATATCTACTTAAAAATCTTACTTGACACATGATCTCAGACATTCTAAGAATACAATTCTATTCTAATGCTGAAACTAACTTGAACACACATTAACTAAAAGTGAAACGATTTAAATAATAATGGTATTGCAAATTTAGACTTTGGTAAGCAAAAATTTGAATATGAATGCACTCGAAATAACATGTTTATCAAAAGACCACTTTAAAATTTAAATAGATTGTAGAGTCGTTAAAAAAATATTAAAAGTTTCCATGTTGTTGTTTACAATCAATTTTGGCCAAACCAGAATGTGTAGGTATAATCATATAATAAAATAGGTACTTATTCCTTATTTTATCTATGGGTGTGCCCATCTTCAAGAGTAATTGGTGGACCTTGCATAATGAATCAAATTTACCTGTTTAAATTTCTTTGTATGTATTTAAATTTTCATAAAAGTTAAATATCAAACATTTTTTTCGTAAAATAATAAGGCGATAGTTTTATTTGTAGAAAGATTGTAAGATTTTAATTAATTGAGTTTAAAATACCTCTCTTAAGCTGACAGAACCAACTGGGCAGAATCGATTAAGATTACATTATTTAGTACCTATTTTGTACTAATTTGTATCACCAATAAAAATGTACCATGGATCATTTAAAAAAAAAACGTGGCGCTGCTAAGTTAATATTAAGCTAGCAGGACCACATTAAAAAAATAAAATAAAAAATAAAACAAAGGTAGAATTAAAAAGAACTGAATTTGTACCAATTTGTACCACCAATCAATTTTTGTACTATGTACCATTTACAAAAAAAAAAACACACGGTGCTTCTAGTTTAATAATAAGCTAGCAGGACCACATTAAAAAAATTATACGAAGGTAGAATTAAAAAGGACTGAATTTGTACTAATTTTTGTCCTAATTTGAACCATTATTTAATTAAACTATCTGAAACAACTTTTAACTGAATTCAAATCTGTTATACTTAAGAAAAAAAGCAACATAATTTCCACCGTTAAAATATAAAGTCTCAGATTGTGTACCCCTGCCGTTCCTTTAGTAACTATCCCGAACTCATATTGGGCTCAAGAGAAAAGTATCCTTTTGCACAAGCAGAGTCAATAGTTACTCCTGCAATAAAAGTAACATAATTTGTACCGTTAAAATATAAAGTTTCACAATGTGTACCCCTGCCGTTCCTATAAAAACTATCCCGAACTCATTTTAGACTCAAGAGAAAAATATCCTTTTGCACGAGCAGAATCAATTATTTCTTTTACATTAAAAGTTTCTGCAAAAGGAGCCTTTACTCTTGTGCCTAATATTAGTTCAGGATAATTTCTATAGGAACGGCAGGGGTACAAATTCTGCAATTATATCTTTTAACGGTACAAATTGTTGCTTTTAATGTGGAAGTTACTATTGATATTGCTCATGCAAAATAATACTTTATTGTTATGCCAAATGTGAGTTTAGGATAGTTTCTATTGGAACCGCAGGGGTACAAATTAGTAAAGGGGCTATGTTCATTCTAGCGCAATCCTTATGTAAATTAACATGGGAAATCGCTAAGGTTCATTCTGGCAATTTTGACGGTGACGTCACTCGTCGAGAATCATCAACTAACTCGTCGAGCCACCAACGGGGGAGTGGGGGAAGCGGGGAGGAGTGGGGGGAATTAAATCTCTTTTAACGTTGAAGAGAAACAGTATGCCACAAGGGCCTTAGCAAGTATCTTCACTGCTATTGGCCCGATTCAAACGGGAAAAACGAGAAAACGGCATTACGTAGAGAACGTGGTATAGATTAACGTCGAATAGAAAAATCATGCGCAGAACGAAAAGCCACAAGGGCTTTAGCGTGCATCTTCATTGCTATTGGTCTGATTTAAACGGGAAAAACGGCATTACGTAGAGAACGTGGTAATTAAGAAACGCCACTACGTACACCATTTGTTTACTGATTATAAGCAAGTCTCCAACAGAGTTTTGAAAGATATGTGAATTGTTGTGAGATTTGAGCTCTCTAGGAATATGCATATCATTTAACTCTAATTTCCACAAAAAGCTTTCCTAGTTATCGAATGTATGTAGGCCACGAAAGCTTTTTGTGGAAATTAGAGTTAAATGATATGCATATTCCATTCACATCAGAACTTATTGTCGATTACCTTCCTAGAGAGCTCAAATCTCACAACATTTCACATATCTTTCAAAACTTTGTTGGAGACTTGGTTACAATCAGTAAACAAATGGTGTACGTAGTGGCGTTTCCTAATTACCACGTTCTCTACGTAATGCCGTTTTTCCCGTTTAAATCAGACCAATAGCAATGAAGATGCACGCTAAAGCCCTTGTGGCTTTTCGTTCTGCGCATGATTTTTCTATTCGACGTTAATCTATACCACGTTCTCTACGTAATTCCGTTTTTCCCGTTTGAATCGGGCCAATAGCAGTGAAGATACTTGCTAAGGCCCTTGTGGCATAATTTTTCTCTTCAACGTTAAAAGAGATTTAATTCCCCCCACTCCTCCCCGCTTCCCCGTTGGTGGCTCGACGAGTTAGTTGATGATTCTCGACGAGTGACGTCACCGTCAAATTTGCCAGAATGAACCTTAGCGATTTCCCATGTTAATTTACATAAGGATTGCGCTAGAATGAACATAGCCCCTTTACTCAAATTCTGAAACTTTATATTTTAACGATACAATTTAGGTTGCTTTTAATGTGGTAGTAACTATTGATTCTGCGCATGCAAAATGTTACTTTTCTGTTAAGCCTAATATCAGTTCGGTATAATTTCTATAGGAACAGTAGGGGTACAAATTCTGAAACTTATTTTCCTAACCCTGACAAAAAATGTATATGGGGATTATATTTTCTATATTTTAAGTGGGAATAAATAAGTTCCCAAGGGTCTGATTAAAAAAATTAATAATTCTTACACATAGGGAAAAGCGCTCAGAACTATTTAAATTTATCATTTGTATTCTACAGTTTGTGAAATATACAGAACGGTTCAAGAAAAGCTATTTTGGATAAGCAATTTAATAAAATATAAACTACTTACTCTTATTTCAACGTATTTTAAATTTATATTTGACGTATAGTTAGGAGTGGTTAAAATAATCGATTGATCAATTATTAATCGATAAGTTGGTTTATATTATTATTATTATTAGTTGATTTTTTAAATCGATAATCGATTATTTTCGGTTAATGAATTAATTTCGATTATTTACGATTAATGTGTAGTTTCTTCGTACTAACAATCTTGAATTTATTCTAAACTAATAATTCATACTTTGAGCGATTGTCCGATTCATTATCAATTCTAAAATGTTACCGCGAACGCAACTTCTATTATATCTAATATTTTCCAATAATCGATTATTTTCGATTAATCGATTATTTTCGATTATATAATAGATTATTTCGATTTATTAATTATTTAGAGTAATCGATTATTTAGATTAATCGATTACTTCGATTAATCGATTACTTCGATTAATCGATTATTTATTTTGATAATGTCCCAGCCCTACGTATGGCTGTCATTCTGACGATTTTTATTTTGTTTTCAGGACCTGTTCAATAAATCCCAGAAGTCATATTCAGTGTCTGATAGCGAGACAATCTTTTTAAGGGTCAAACCTACGGGTAAGTTAACATATTTCAATTACTTTGATGTTCTATTCGTCATTTTTTAACACATTTTTCCATTTTTTTAAATAAATCTTGTCTGATCGTCTGTGCATATAGATGTGCGCCGACACGATAATTCAAGATCGAAAAAACCAATCGACTAGCGGTTTTGATTTTATTTAATAATTTCTTCCAGCTGATAACCCTATTGATTGTTTAACTTTACTGCTTTAAATATCAGTGGTTTTAAAATGCACTGCGGCATGGGTACTGATTTCACTTGTCAACTATGAAACTACAGACATTTTTTCTATATTGCTGTCATTCTTAAACGTCAAATAAATTATTAAAGTTTTTTTTTAAAGATAACATACAGGATGGCGAGGAACGATTATTTTTGCACTAGTTTTAACGGACTCCATAATGGAACTTTTATCTGAATTTCATATTAGAATGGAAAAGGAAAAGGGCTCACAATTTAGTATTACATAAATGGGGAGATTTAAGAGATAAACGGTCCAGTTAGATGAATAGGCTAAAGGGGTAAATGGCCCAAATAATTTTACATGAACAGGAGTAAATAGTAAAAGCACTAAATATTTTGATGTGGTACTACTTAAGGGATAGACCAAATGTTTTTACGTGGATAAGTTTAAACTATATGGGATAAATAATACTAAATAGGTAGGCGTAAGGGGTAAAAGTACCAAATATTTTTACACTGGTAATCTTAAAAGTGGTAAAGGGTATAAATATTTTCACATTGATAGATGATCCAAAGAGGCAAAGGGGTCAAACATCTTTACTTTTCTATCTGTATACAGAAGAAAAAAATAGGAATCATGATTTTTTCTACCTCGAGTTTTCGACGGATTTTTACGTTTTGCGATGATGTTGGTGTGTTATAGATTAGATTTTGAGCATAGTTGGTACATTGGGGGGGGGGGGGGGTTATTTTATGGAGAATAATTTGTAAATTTTATAGAATATATTTGTTATTTACGCATAGAGAAAAAATTGAACCGTCAAAATTGACAAGAGTAAAGTATTATTGTAAGGGAATATATGCCATTTGGAGTCATTTAGTAAAAAGGTATTGGGGTGGGTATTACACATATCTTTACTATTAACTCTCAAGTATTATTTGTTATGTACCTGGCCAGCCGTCAAATTCAAATCGGCAAATTAGACATACACCCTTCCCCAAATAATTATTTTACCGGCACCCATTCATGATTAATTACTCGTAATTTTTATCGTTTTATAAAATCGGGAATATACAAATTTCTTACTAATTTATAACAATTTTTTGATAGGCAATGCAATTTATATATAATTGCCGTTAATTAAATAGTGTAAACACTAAATATATAGGAAATTCATAATTTTTCTACTGTTAGCTGGAAAAATTCAGTTAAACATGTAATTAAAGTTGAAGATGTCAATATAAACGTTAATATTATTGTTATAAGACGATATAGTGATACTGAACTAGATTTAGAAAAGCTGTAAATAATAGTTTGTGCCAGTGGCGGCACCTGACCAAAATTTTGGGGGTTCATAGTGACAGAATATTCTTATTGGCTGTCTGATTTTATAAGCATGGCTATATCTAGACGGTTTTGAATTCCTTTCAAAACGGTTTTGAATTCCTTTCAAGATGTTTTATGGTTTTTATACCTAGAAGTTTGTTTTGGTTTTGGTACAATCTGAAGACCGTGGTTTGATTCATCTCTCGAAGATCTAGACAGTTTCGAGTTTAAGTTAGAATACCAAATATCACGAGATCATTCACGTTGCAGAATTACGAATCAATTGAGCTCAAACACATTAAACAAGTACATAGAATAACTAGAGATCACGTTACAGGCGACAGTGTCCAGTAAGAAGACCTACTGTTATCCTAACGGTTTGACGCTTTTGATCCAATAGTTCTTTCGTGAACTTGGCCGATGGTTCCTTGATGAACTGTTTGGTCTGTTTCAGTCTTGGATAGTTGTTCCACCATTCCTGAGACTCTTTTTGCATCCATTGTTTAATGGATGACTTGCACAATGCCTTAGCAACTCCACAGAAGGGTTCTAGGGCTAATTCGTCGGCCTTTTCGTTGCCCTGATATCCCTCTTGGCCTGGAATTCAGGCTAGGTTCACCTTATTTTGACTACTTAGCTTTGCCAGGTCTTCTAGACAGTCTTTCACCAGTCGTGATTAGATTTCTGGTGAGAGAATTGCCTTTAGAGCTGCTTGGCTATCAAAGTTTATGGGCAATAGTTTTGCCTGATACTTGCTGATTTAATATTTCTCTTGCACAGTGTTGTATGGCTATTAGCTTAGCCTGGAACACTGTTGGATATTTTCCTACACTCAGCGAAATCGTTGTTTTCAATTGCACCAGTTCCTTCCTTGGTTTTTGAACCGTCTGTGTACCAGACGGGTTCAGTCTGTACGGGAGGTCCCTGATTCCAGGATTCTCAGGCTGGTATTTAAATTTAAAAATTTCTTTAAAATTTGTATGTGGTTATGGCTCTATCAGTAGGCATAGCTAGAATATTATCCCTTTTTATTTGCTGATATAGCCTTGTGTGGTCGGCTTATTGGATTTTGTCCCTGTATTAGCCTGTGAATAGCTGACCTGGTTTCTCCTTGTATGAAGATGTGCAGTGGCTTGAGATTTAATAATACCTCCATTGTTACAGTCGGCGTAGTGCACATGGCCCCAGTAGCACTTAGACAGACAAACCGCTGAATGCTAGTGAGTTGGCTTATTGCATTTGCCTGCGCAATTTTGGTTACCCACGCCACTGCGCCATAGGTTATCATGGGTCCTTGTGTATAACCATATGGTCATTTTGGGGTTTAGACCCCAGTTTTTCTCACATATTCTTCTACAGCTTACGAGAGCTATTGTAGCTTTGTATGTGAGTTTTTTGAAATGTTGATTCCACGTCAGCCTTTGGTCAAATATGACTCCGAGGTATTTGGCTTCTGTGACGAGCAATCTATATAATTATACATGTATCACTGACCCTGTTAATGACAACAGGCCCACAGGGTTGCCATATCTAAACTGTCAGTTCCCATTTGTCAGCCTTTTGACAGGTCATTGGAATGCCTCATATTTTAATTCAGTAGAGTTTGCCGGGAAATAGACGCCTCCTATAATTAATGATTGTTATCCTAACAAACACAATACTGCCGTCATAAGCTAAACCCTCGTAACTGAGAAATTACAAATTTTTGAAGTTATTTGACCATTCTGATACTAACTAAATTTATTCTATATCCTAAAAAGTCAAGTTGACTCTACACACGTAACAAACATTTAACCCACAAGCAACACTAAAAATTAAACGTTGTTGTTAGGTACACGCTAAAGTGTACACAAATCAAAAAATTATATACAACGCGAAACGTCATATTGCTGTGGTGGGAGGTGTTTGTGTGAATGTGTCTTGTTTCTTTTAATTTACGCCGTGACCAGCAGTAGTATTTTATAAATTTCACATACATGAACAAATAATAAAAATAATGCCGTGACAACAAGAAAATGAAATAACGGCTTATAGTAGGGTGGCGGCTTTGCCGCCACCAGAAAATTTCAATCCATGCCTAGCTACGCCGACCGGTATAACCACCAACGGTCTAGACACAGCTCACCTACTCTGTCAAGATGTTTCGCGTGTATATAACTTTTTGAATTGCGTACAAGTTAGCGTGTACCTAGACCTGTGAAAATCGCATAAAAAAGCAATATCCAAAAATTTTCTTTCATTCAACAAAAATACCACCGATGTAAATGCTGGCACTAATGAATTTCGTTTGTTGAAAATATTACCTTTTTATAGTTTCCATAGTTACTGAGGTTTTGCTTTGATGGCAGAATACAAATAAATGTTCTACATTGTTATGAATTACTCTCAACTCCATTGGATTTAGAATCGACTTTATAATTGAATTGCACCTTCACCACGACCTTTGCTGTTTGAGTTCGTATTTCTATCACACCTAAATAATGTATACGAGGTCAATTTCTCCCGACAATATGTCATAATTAAAACTAAGTATACATATTTAATTTTAAGTCTTAATTTAGTTCGCAAGCCACCAACATTTTTACAGTAAATTTGCAATGGGGATAGAATCAGTTTTTTTTAGTTGTATTTTTAATAATTTTTGTAACGCTGTTTTTAAACTGAATTCTAATATCTTATTCTCCAATAAATCTTCTTTCCTCAAGCTCTGTTCTTAACATGTTAAATAAATCCCTTTGGATCTTCGTTTGACCATTATTACTTTCCTATCTGTATACAGATATAAGGAAAGTATAGGAATCATGATTTTTTTCGACTTCGAGTTTTCGACGGATTTTTACGTTTTGAGGTCCCCTGAATCCGTTTTGACTATTTTCGCGATGATGTCTGTCTGTGTGTGTGTCTGTATAACGCATAACTCATGAACCGATACACAGAAAAACACCAAATTTTAAACTTAAGCTTTGTTTCAGCGTCCAATGAGCTGATTAGATTTTGGGCAGTGTGGGGGGGTACTTTATAGGTGGTCATTTTTATATTTTATGGAATATATCTGTTATTTACGTTTGGAGAAGAAAATTCTTCAAATAAAAGTTACTTCTAATATAATTATCTATAATTTTTGTTTTATGCAAAATTTTTCTAAAATGGTCCGTATTCGAGAAATTTGACAAAATGTAAAAAACATAATTTTTTATAAAAATTGTTCAAATAAAAGTTGTTTGTAATATAATTCTCTATAATTTTTGTCCTATACATAATTTCTCTAAAATGGACCGTATTCGAGATATTTGAGAAAATGTGTAAATTTCGAAATTTGAAGAAAACTCAAAAACGGATAAAGGAAAAAACATTAAATTTTAAACTTAATGTTTATTTCGGCCTGACGTGAAATGATTAGATTTTGGACAAAGTCGGAACATCTGGGGGGGTACTTTATGGGGGGCCGTTTTTATATTTTATGGAATATATCTGTTATTTATG